TGCCACCAGGGAAGCCCCCCAAGTTCTCTTTTTAAGAAAGAAAAACATCCTTCATGTTGAGTGGAGACCTCTGCCTCCCCATCATCACCCCCAAGAGACAGGGAGGATTTGCCTTGGTCCACTCCAAGGCATTTGCAAACCCAAAAAATGTGGAGGGAGGGGATGGCCACGAACAAGACACAATTGAAAACTACCAACCATGATTCGTTATTCTGTAACCTTTATATTCTCTTACCATTCTCTTATGAACCCTCAAAGTGAGCATTCCACTAGTGAGGGCCTTAACTTCCTCCTTCTGTGTGCTGCCCAGAGATTGTATTTTGTCATCCTTGTCAGGAATGGGGGTGTGTTTTCTTGCCACCTGTCGCACTGGGACTGTTGGCACAAATACTTGTTTGAGGAGGAAATGAATCAAGATTTACTGGGTGTTAGCTTTGCAGTGATCTTCATCAGTCTGTTGATTAGTCATAACTATATCCGTCACACCCTTACAGGTACAATTTACACAAAATGAATCATTTCCAAATATATTCTATGTGATTTCTATTTAGGATGTAGACGTTATTCCCAAGGGGCATCAGTTTTGCAGGAAGGTTGGTTTAGCTAAGCTTCCTTTGTTTACTTTGTAGAGACTTGGAATTGATTAAGGTTTAGATATTGATCATCATATAGGTTAGGACTCAATATGTATACCGGACGCACACTTACTAAATTGTTCTTATTTGATCCCCCTAGAGACTCTCTGATGCCTATATGATATTCTATATGTGATATATGAGAAAATTATTATAACCAGAGTGACCTTTTTTCTTATATTTTTATGTTAGGTGTACATAAAGAAAACGGTATAGAAGGCGTAGAGGTTAAAGAATAGTTTTTCAGTGAACACGCTTGTTCTATCATAGCCCAACTCAACTCCTCCTCTCCTGGATGCCACCATTATCCCGACTTTTGTTAATATGATTTGCTTTCCTTGTATAGTTTTTTCATTTGTGTACCTAGGACTAGGATTGTTGGGTAAGGAGGTATGAATATCTTCAATTTTATCAGAAAATGTCAAACATTTTCCATAGTGATTGTACCGGTTTGCGCTCCTGCCACAAGGGTGTGAGAGTTTCCATTGTTCCACATCTTCACCAGCAGTCAGTTTTGTCCAGCTCGATCCCTGATTACTATTGAGAATGAGCACCGTTCAATTCATCTGTTACTTGTATGTCCTCTTTTTAGAGTGTCTATTGACATTTTGGTCCATTTTTCATTTTCCATAGTTTTTTAGGAACTATTTACATATATTTATACTAGATCTTTATTTGTTCCAAGTATATTCTCCCACTCCGTGGCTTGTCTTTTCTCTCTCTTTATGGGGTATTTTGATGAAAAGAAGTTCTTAATTTTAATACAGTCAAGTTTATTAGTTTTTTTTCCTTTATATGTGATGCTTTTTTGAATCTTAAATTCCTCCCTGCCCTGAAGCTATAAACATATTATGCTATGTTATCTTATAAAATACTTACAGTTCCATTGTTTACAGTTTAGCTCATTACATGGTATAAAGTTGGGATCCAGTTTTCATGTGAATATCCACTTTTCCCAGCCAATAGTTATTGAAAAGACTACTCTTACTCTAAAGAAAGGTCTTTTGTGCTGCTTCTGTCATATCTAGTGACCATAAATTTATGTTATATTTCTGGGCTCTCTAGTCTATTTGTCTCTTATTCCTCTTTCAGTACCACACCACCTTAATTAGGTTGTGATATGGAAAGGTAATTCTTGTTAGATGGTAAGGCAAGTTGTCTTACTTTGATATTTACTTGGAGTTTCTTGGCCCTTACTGGCTTTTTGCACGTTTGTACTTCAATAAGCGTTTTAGAATGAGCTCCTTAAGTTTGAACAAAACAAAAACCCTTAGAAATGTTGAATGGGATTGCATTGAATCTGTAGATCAATTTGGAAAAATAAACATCTTTACAATATTGAGTCTTATCAAAAACATGGCTTGCTCACTTTCTGTGTCTTTCTCGGTAATATATTTCAATATAGTGTTTCTATTTTCTCATATGAAATCTTACATATCTTTGGTAAGGTTCTTAGTACTTTATGCTCTTAGAGGTACTGTGTCAAGTGTTCTTTGTTAAACTGTTGCTAATATCAGGATTGTTGTATACTGATTTAATATCCAGCAACTCTACTAAACTCACATATTAATTCTAACATTTTATCTGCAGAATCTTTTGGAATTTTCTAAATACACAATCATAGTGAATAATGGCTTTATTTTTTCCTTTATTATATATAAAAATATGTGTGTATGCACATGTGTTTCTTTTTTTTCTTGTCCTACTGCATCTGCTAGTGCCCTTAGGAAAGCAATGAATAGAAGTGATAGTAACAGGTATTCTTGTGTTATGCTGAATCTCTTAGGGAAAACATTGAAAAGTTAAATACTTATAATATTTAAAAAATTAACATACTCTAGAGTTAACTTTTTTCTTTTTGGTATGAAAATTCTGATTCTGAGTTTTAACCTGATGTATAGATTCATGTAACCACCACCATAATCAGGACGGAGAATAGTTACATCACCTTCAGAATTCCTTTGTATGCTGCCCCTTTGTAGTCAAACCTTCTCCCCATCTCTAACTTCTGGCCACTGCTTTTCTGATCTGTTCTTCATCCCTATGGTTTTGCCTTTTCCAGAATGTTATATAAATGAAATTAAACAATAGGTAACCTTCTGAGACTGACTTCCTTCACTCTGCATAATGCCTTTGATATTCGTCTTTGTTGATGTATCAGTAGTCCATTCCTTATTATTGCTGAGGAGTATTGCATTCTATGGATATACCACAGTTTATTTATACGTTCACCCATTGAATCATCCATGATTTTAGCTCTGCAACTTATTCAGCTTCCTTGGATAAGCTGCTTCTCTATGCACCAGTTTATTCATCTGTAATGGGGATAATGTACCTACATCATAGGGTTACTGTGGGGACAAAATGAGTTAATACCTATGAAATACTTAGATAAGGCCTGATATATAGTAAGTGCTCAGTAAATGCAATCCATCATTATTGTCCCCAATATCAGTAAAGATTTTGAGGTAGAAAACTTGACAAGTTCAAGGAATAGCAAGAAAGCCAATGTGCCTGGCATGTAGTGAGAGGGGAAGGTGGCATGTAGAAGGTATGCAGGTGTAAGGTCATGAAAGGCCTTATGGACTGCCGCAGGGAGGTGTTTTTTTTTTTTTTTTTTTTTGTGGTATGCGGGCCTCTCACTGTTGTGGCCTCTCCCGTTGCGGAGCACAGGCTCCGGACGCGCAGGCTCAGCGGCCATGGCTCACGGGCCCAGCCGCTTTGCGGCACGTGGGATCCTCCCGGACCGGGGCACGAACCCGTGTCCCCTGCATCGGCAGGCGGACTCTAAATCACTACGCCACCAGGGAAGCCCTGCAGGGAGTTTTGATTTTACTCCAAGTGGAAAGCCAGGAATGAGACATGATCCAATTCATGCCTTTAATAGATCGCTCAGGCTTCGGTGAGGAGATGAGTTAATGGTGGTGGTGGGAATGAAAGCATATTACCGCGGTGGTCCAGGGAAAAGATGGTGGTGGTTTGGACCCTAGTGGTGGTTGTGGGGTTGGTGAGAAGTGCTTTGATTGAAGGTAGGGTTTGGATGTAGAACCCACAGCACTTGCTGAGGGATTGTAGTTCAGTGGAACACATTTCCCATCAGAGTAGTGGTGTGGTTTAGTCACAGTTATCAACAGCAACACTCCTCTCTCTCACAGCTTTCCCAGAGATTTTCCTCATCCACTTTTTAAAAAAATTTTTTATTGGAATATAGTTGATTTACAGTGTTGTGTTTCTGCTGTACAGCAAACTGAATCAGTTATACATATATCCACTCTTTTTTAGATTCTTTTCCCATATGGGCCATTACAGAGTATTGAGACAAGTTCTCTGTGCTATACAGTGGGTTCTTATTAGTTATCTATTTTATATATAGTGTGTGTGTCATCGGCTTTTGAATTGAAACCTAAACTTTCATGCCTGAATTTCTGGAATCCATCTGAAGAAATAGCATGCCTTTTCATACATTTTTAAATGACATCTAAGTGACTTCTTTCTTACTCATAATCGCAGCCCCAAACACATTTGCGTTAAAAAAAAAAAATAAAGCGACTTATGCCACAGCAATTTTTTCTTCTAGCGTTTTGCTCTGTGGTTCTCTGCAGCCTGTAGAGTGCTGTGACTGACCCCACATTCTTAGTTGTCCTGCTGGAAATAAAGTCGTCCCGGGTGCTTCATGCTTTGCCAGCGGGATGGTAGTTTGAGTGGTTGGCAGGAGTTCCTGTGTACACTTAGGACTTATTGTTGGAATAAACATTATTAGACTCAGACGAAAATTGGACCAGAAATTTATTTTTGTCCTCCTTTCAACCTCAACTCACCCTAGAGTCTCTCATCCACATGACAAATGGTCTTGACTTTCTGAAGTGATCTAAAGATTAAAATCAGCCCTGGGTGCTTGCTTATTCAAATGGAGATTTCTTTTTTTTTTTTTGGGGAAACAGTTAAAAATAGAGTTCTGTGATCTCACGTAGAGACGTTTTCTTTTATTTCCTGTGTGTCTGCTCTTAACATGACTGTATTTGTTCTTTGTGGGGCTTTAACTCCTCAAAGACAAACACCGGACCCGGTCTTTATCTGGAACACTTATTATACCTTTTTTTTTTTTTTTAAACCCTATCCGATCTGCTTAATTTGGGACGTCTCATAATTCAGGATTTGCTAAATCGGAGTAAATCTTCCTTCTATTCTGAGCTTCTTGCTCTGGTTTGCCCCCGTTTTCATCATCTCTTATCAGGTTAATGTCCAACTGTGGTATTTATTTACTCAGTTGACTTGTAGGAGGACCTCTGGAATCTTGGAAATATTCACTTGAATTTTGTGCCTAATTTTGTGCTTCTTTGTAATTGGCTTCTCTTGTGATTACAGAATACCAAGCTGCTATTCTACACCTGAAGAGGGAGCACAAAGAAGAAATTGAAAACCTGCAGGTATATCTCTTTGATTCTCCTGAACTGGTTATCTGAGACTGATACTTGGTTTTCTCATGTGCTGAAGTAAAGACTCTGCTTTTGTTGACATATTTACCTAGACAGCATCTGCACCTTGCACCTGCCACCGGGCCTTGAGTTTATCCTGGGGATGAAAGCCTTGAACTCCATTTTTAATAGAATTCAATTCCTATTTAAAAAAAAAAAAAAAAAATACCACAAATGCATTTGGGAAAAGGATTTGATTGGAGACAATGATGGTTTTATTTGGAAAGCAGGCAAGAAGATAAGAGTATTTAGGCTTTTACTGTTTAGAAGAAGGCTTTGAAAAATTGTTTCCTGCGCACAGTGCGAATTATTTTGTTGGGCATCCTCCCAGCCATGTGTTCGTATCTGTCTGTCGCTTAGCATATGTCTGTAATGTGATGTCAAGCAGATTAAAGCACTTAAGGAAGTGGCCCTAGTAGGAGGAAGAGTTGTGCTGGGCCAGCCATTCCGTATCCCCAGGGAGTGCTTGGAAGTTGCTGACTTGATCTCCTTTGTGAAGCCCAGAAAGTCTGAGGCATCCTTTCCTTTGTCCCCGCTCATTATCATTCCCTATGTTTGGTATTTGCTTGCTGTGCCTGTAACAGGAAGTTTCAGAGTCTCAATTTCACATAACTCAATATTGAATCAGGCACTGATTCTAGTTTACTGATGGCTGGGGTTGACCCCATATCTCAGGAGAGAATATTAGCGAAATTCAAATCAAACTTGGTAGTATGTGTAGTGCCTAACTCATTACATGCTAAGTCAGTGAATGTGTGGATCAAATATTCTTCTTTCCATTAAGTGATAATATCCTTTTTAAAATAACTGTGATGGTGTACTGGACTGTATATGAAGTCACTGCAGGTAGCAAAAAGATCATTAAATAAGTCATATGGGGTATGAATACAGGCCACCCCTCTCCAGCTTGGTTTAAGTAGTTTGGAGGAGAGAATGAGTCCATTTCACAAAGAAGCAAAAAAGTGGAAAAGTACCTCTGACTCCTAGGGGACAAAGAGAGGGGGAGGCCCTTATCTCCTTTGTTGCCAAAGGTTCTACAGAGACCTTTTTTCCTTTGTTCTGGTGTGCGAAAGATTCTCAGCTGTCTCAGAGAAGCTGAAGTAGGGATTAATTTAAGAGGCAGATTGCTAAAGAGGGTGGTACAGAAGTGATTCTGTGAGAAGTTTTTTTAACAGCTCAGCTATAAGAGTTAACAGTACCTTCCTCAACTTGTAGACCAGCCCTGGGAGGACTTTGACAGCTAAATAATATTCACAGGGACCACAGGTACTTACAATCTCCGGGTTCTTCCTTCGTGCTGGGCATTTTTCTAGGCACGTTCTGTGCATTATTTCATGTCTTTTCATCTCCACAAAAGTCCCATGATCTCACATCTCAAACTAGGAGAAGGTTGGAGAAGGGGAAGAGAAGAGTAAATGGAAGGGGAAGAGGTATATTGGGATCATGATCTCCACTTAAAATAAAGGTTAGACCAAGATATGATTGACAGTAGTAAACATTAAAAAATGTTCCTAATTATACCTTCAGTTTTAAGTATCTCTGAAATAATTATGTTCTTGTAGTGCTGTTAGTAAACTAAAAAAAAAAAAAGTCCCATATTGATGATTTATACCAACTTGCTGAAACCCTGTGGCAATGGCACGCTCTTGCCATCAGCGTACAGATGGGGCAGTGTACCCCATCTGTACGCTGAACTGTAGTCGGGAACTAGTTCAGCAGTCTGACAGCTCTCGATAGGAAACTGGCAACTCTTATTCCTCATCTGACCTAGAGAAGTGTCTTGTTGGCAAACAGAGAATTTTAAAGATTCAATTAGGAATAGTTTCAAATATGGAGAGATTTCTAGTAAGGGGCAGACGTCACTTCGACGAGGACACGTGTTCTCTAGTTTGCCACTGTCCCCATTGTGGGCCGTTTTCCCTGCCTGGCTCCTGTATGCTGTCATGAACCCCTGTTCTCTGGGAGATGTAGAAAATAACTAAGTGGGTAGCAACACCAACCAGTCAGAACAGACACAAATTTGTAAAACAACAACCCAGCCTGGCTGTACTCTTGGGGTACTCGCTGAATAATACCATCTCCACCTGTTTTATTCCACAAAGTAACAAAGTCACATCTCCTGTCACAGGACTGGTTAAAGACAATTGGTGAGCAGCTGTTTCCTTACTCATTTCTTTATATGGATTTCCACTTGCAACCTTCATTGCCTGTTAGATTTTCTTTCTCCACTTAACAGGTCACGGAGAAGTCAGACGTGTTTCAGGACTTCTTCAAAATGCCTTTCTAGAATAAGAAAGATTCCATGCTTAAAGGATACAAGAAAAGTGATCCATTCTATCGCCATATACAAGATTTGATATGTATGACATTTAGTTTTTTGAGACTGTTTTCATAGACTTTATGGAAACAGCATGGTTCAACAGAGAACCTAAACTCAGTTTGCTATTCTGTTTTAGACGATAGATTTGTAGGGAAGTCATTTAATTGTTCAGTTCCGCCACCTGGAAAATGGAATCCTTATCACTTTAAGTGATTTGATTGGAAGTTGAAACTTTCAGCCCAGAGTCCCAAGGCTTGTAAGTGGGGAGTCTGGAGTTGTAATCTCATGCATGCTCTGTAGCCCACATTTGTGGAAGGCTGTGCTCTAGAAAGGGCTTGGTCCCGAGACCAGCTTTTCAAAACGTGTAGCACCTTAGATACATAGTCTCCCTGCAGTTCAAAAGCAAAAAATTATTGATGAATGAATCCATTTCCAAATTCCATCAATTTATATATACCTTCAACTCAAAGCACTTGGCTGACTTTTCTACTGAAAGCTCCAGCAGGAGAGTAGTGGCAGGTCAGACATTTTCCACGGCTTGACTATTTCATGTCATTTATGATTATAACCAGCAAAATTCTTAAATTTTGCCCAATATGCCCTTTATTTAGCAACCTCTGCCGTAGAGAGTATATGACCACTTCATAATATTCAGTATCCTCTAGTTCAGTTTTCAGTTTTGAGTAATTCTGTGTTACTGATTTTATTTTTGTAAAAGTGGCACCTTACATTTACAGATACTTATTTGAGAAATTTTTGCTTGTGGTAGCCATTGCATAACAAGTTCACGGCCATTGGGTAGAAACATAGTTCACACCTGCCCTTTTAAGGCATGTGATAAAACTAATTCTACCACGGTATAAATGAAGAGTTTTTCCTTCAGGATTGTCTAGGAGCAAGGAGCAAGGAGCAAGGTTTGACAGTCACTATCACAGCTCTTGTGAAAATCTTTCTTTACATAGTTGGTCTTTGTCTTATCGTAGTCAGAGAACCAGGTGTGATACTATTTTATGCGTGACGAGAGTATGAAAGAACTCAGGTTTTCGAGTCAGGATTCAGTTCAACTCCTTGCACGATGACATTAGGAAATTAATCAACGTCTCTGGGACTTCTCTCAGTTTCAGCATTTGTGCAATAATAATCATATTGATGCACAAATAACAAATGTTGGCAAGGATGTGGAGAAAATGGAACCCTCCTACACTGTTGGTGGGAATGTAAATTGGTGCAGCCACTGTGGAAAACAGTATGGAGGTTTCTCAAAAAACTAAAAACAGAACTGCCATATGACCCAGCAGTTCCACTCCTGGCTGTATATCTGAAAAAAACAAAAACACTAATTCAAAAAGACATGCACCCCACTGTACATAGCAGCATTGTTTACAATTACCAAGATATGGAAGCAACCTAACTGTCCATCAACAGATGAATGGATAAAGATGATGTGATATATATATACACACAACACACACACGCATATATACATACAGTGGAATACTACTCAGCCATAGAAAAGAATGAAATTTGGCCATTTGCAACAACATGGATGGACTTAGAGGGTGTTATGCTAAGTGAAATAAGTCAGAGAAAGACAATTACTGTATGATATCATTAATATGTGGAATCTAAAAAAAATAAGACAAGCTAGTGAATCTAACAAAATAGACTCACAGATACAGAGAACAAACTAGTGGTTACTAGTGGGGAAAGGGAAGTGGGGAGGGGCAAGATAAGCGTAAGGGATTAAGAGGTACAGACTATTATGTATAAAATAAATAAGCTAGTGGGAAGCAGCCACATAACACAGGGAGATCAGCTCAGTGCTTTGTGACCACCTAGAGGAATGGGATAGGGAGGGTGGGAGGGAGACGCAAGAGGGAGGAGATATGGCGATGTATGTATATGTATAGCTGATTCACTTTGTTATAAAGCAGGAATTAACACACCATTGTAAAGCAATTATAGTCCAATAAAGATGTTTTAAAAAAAAACAACAGATGCTCACTACACTGTAGAATGCAGTACTGATATTTAAGATAGATTAAACATTATTGAGTAAAAAAAAAATTAAGTTGCCTATTAGTGGTATGATTCCTATCATAAAAATTGTGTGTATGTGCCTGTGTGGGCTCATAAATAGTGATTTGAAAATTTTATTTCCCATAATGTTTACAGTGGTTGCCAGGTTAGGACTTTTTTCTTTGTTAATTAGGCAGTTCTGAATTCCTTGAATTTTCAACATGCATATGTACTAGTTTTATGATTTAAAAAACTCAATAAAGCAATATAATCTATATAAATAATTCAATTTTATATACTAAAATATAAATAAATAAGCTACAAGGGTATATAGTACAGCACAGGGAATATAACCAATATTTTACAATAACTGTAAATGGAGTATAACCTTTACAAATTGTGAATCACTGTGTTGTACATCTGTAACTTATAAAATATTATATATCAACTATAGCTCAATTAAAAAAATAATTTAAAAAATTATGATAATTTGATGATGCCTCCCTTCTAGGATTGTTCAATATGACGTATACCCGGTTACCAACACATGCTCAGTAAATACTATTTCTCATTCCTTTTGCCCTGCACAGGTCTCCTTATAATTAGGCAGCTT